ATTTTATTTATTTATTTGACACAGAGAGAGAGACAGCGAGAGAGGGGGAACCCAAGCAGGGGGAGTGGCAGAGGGAGAAGCAGACTCCCTGCCGAGCCGGGAGCCCGATGCGGGGCTCGATCCCAGGACCCTGGGACCATGACCTGAGCCGAAGGCAGACGCTTAAGGACTGAGCCACCCAGGCGCCCCGACCTGGTGAGTATTTGTTAAACAAACAGGAGTGGGTAAATGCAAGGACGTGAGTGTGTGGCCTCAGGAAAACATTGACCTTTAGGAGTGTCCTGAGGATTGGGGTGCTCTGAGCAGAACCTCCATGAGATTTGCAAATCACCATTTGAGTGGGGGCCCACTCAAGTGTTCCATTGTGGTCAGCACAGTGTTAAAAATAGTGCTAAGGACAGAAAACAAAACAATTAAAAACAAAAAACGGGCAAACTTGCGCATAACGAAGATCGACAAATGGCTAATAAGCACACAAAAAGAGGCTCAACGCAAATCAAGACCACAATGAGGTACCACCCCCCGCCCATTAGGATGGCTGCAACAACCCCCCCCCCGCCCCCACACATATCAAATGGCAAGCGTTGGGGAGGATGTGGAGAAATTGGAACCCTTGTGCCCGGAAAACAGCACGGAGGTTCCTCCAAAAATTAAACATAAAAATGCCGTAGGATGGGGCAATTCCTTTTCTGGGTATAGACCCCAAAGAATTGGGAGCAGACACTCGAAGCGTTATCTGTCCCTAGCAGTGTTATTCATAGGAGCTATAAGGTGGGGGCAACCCAAGTGTCCATCAACAGATGAACAGATAAACAAAATGTAGTCCAGCCATACGATGGGATATTGTTCAGCCTTAAAAAGGAAGGACGCTCTGGCACCTGCTCCAACATGGGTGAAACCTTGAAGACGTTATACGAAGTGAAATAAGCCAGCCACAAAAGGGACAGAAACTGGGGCTCCTGGGTGGCTCAGTCGTTAGGCGTCTGCCTTCGGCTCAGGTCATGATCCCAGGGTCCTGGGATCGAGCCCCGCATCGGGCTCCCTGCTCGGCGGGAAGCCTGCTTCTCCCTCTCCCACTCCCCCTGCTTGGGTTCCGTCTCTCGCTGTGTCTCTGTCAAATAAATAAAATCTTAAAAAAAAACAAAACAAAAACAAAAGGGACAGAAACTGTATGATTCCACTTATGTGCGGTGTTCAGAGGAGTCCCATTCACAGGGACACGAAGCAGAAGGGTGGGTGTCAGGGGGCTGGGGGAGGGGGTAGGAGCTGCTTCGGGGCGACAGAGTTTCAGTTTGAGATGATGGGAAAGTTCTGGAGATGGATGGTGGGGCTGGCTGCACAGAAATGGGAATGCACTTAATGCCACCGAACCCTGCACTTGAAAGTGGTTAAGATGGCAAATTTTATGTATATTTTACCAGAATTTTTAAGAAAGTGCCATGGCTAGGGGCACCTGGCTGGCTCAGTCGGGAGAGCATGAGACTCTTGATCTTGGGGTTGTGAGTTCAAGCCCCACGTTAGGTGTAGAGATTACTTAAAAATCTTTTATTTATTTATTTATTTATTTATTTGACGGACAGAGACACAGCGAGAGCAGGAACACAAGCAGGGGGAGAGGAAGAGGGAGAAGCAGGCTTCCCGCGGAGCAGGGACCCCGATGCGGGACTCGATCCCAGGACCCTGGGACCATGACCTGAGCCGAAGGCAGACGCTTAATGACTGAGCCACCCAGGCGCCTGAGATTACTTAAAAATCTTAAAAAAAAAAAAAAACACAACAGATCGGGAGAGGTCACATTCTAGCTGTGGTGGACATTGCCCGTGCTCACCCATCTTAGGTTTTCCTGTGCTTCCTGGGCACAGGATGGGGGAGACCCACCTTCTAGTACCGTTTCATTGGGTGTGGTCACATGGATGGTGAGCACCAGTGATGTGACCCCCAGTGGGTTGATCTTCCCTTCCCCGTGATGGTCTCACATCGAGGTCGACAACTCGTGGAACCTAAGTGGCTTGGGTGCTGTGGAGCGTCGCCCGGGCTCAGGGCAGATGATGTGTCAGGGAGAATACATTTTTAGGTGTTGTGCTAAGCCTTTGAGATGTTGGGGATTTTTGTCACTGCAGGGTAACAACAGAAATGTACTGTCTCTCAGTTCTGCAGTGCAAAAGCCCAAGAGCAAGGTGTCGGCAGGGTGGGTTCCTTCAGGGGCTGCGGCAGAGTCTGGTCCATGCCTCTGTCTCCTACATGGCTGTTTCCGTCTCGGTCTTTTCAGGCTTCCCCCTGTATCTGTGCCCCCCTTTTAAAGGGGCCCTGGTCATATCGGGGCCCATTCTACTCCAGGATGACCTCACCTTAACCAACGACATCCGCAGGGAGGCTGTTTCCAAATGCGGTCACACCTTGAGGTACCCGGGCTAGGACTTGAGTATATGAATTTTGGGGGTATTCAACCCACAACAGGCGGCCTCCCAGAGGAGGGTTGGATGGAGCAGGGCTGGAAAGGGGAGCGTGAAGGGAGAACCCAGACATTTCCAGCAGGAGGAACTGAGTGAGCAGGCCTTTCTGGCAGGGGCGGCTCTAGAAGGTTCTTAAGAGGCTCCCTGCAGCCATAGAAGGTGTGGGAGTGCATTTGTGCATGTGCCGGGGGGGCTCCCTCCTGTTCATCTCCAGGGTGGAGACAGGCTAAGACATGCAGGGAAAGTGGAGGGATGCGGGAAGGGGGGGTGGGCTGTCAGGTTTGATCTTCAGGGTTTGTTTTTGACTTTCTGCTGACTCTAGAAATGGATCCAGATGGGGGTGGGGGCGAGAGAAAGGCAGAGAGAAGAGGGAAGCTTTCAAAGCTGTAGCCATGGGAAATGTTTTTATTTTCTGCTTGAAAGAAAATGCCAAAGAAGAATAAAAAAAAAAAAAAAAAGGGAGGGAGGGAGAGAGGTGAAGAGAGAGATGCACAGTGTGTGTGTGTGTGTGCGTGCGCGCGCACACGCACGTGTGTGAGAGACAGAGACAGAGGTCCTGGGAGCCTGTGGGTGTGGGAGGACCCCAGGACACTTGGGATGAGGCTGGGTGTTGCTGTCCCCTCTCTTAAGATGCCACCGTGGGCCCTGGAGCACCAGTGAGGAGCACGGGAGGTGGAGGGCTGGGCAGAAATGGGTTGGGCTTGCTTGTTGCCACCCAGGCTGGGTTACTTTAGGAAGACCACCCCATTTCTCTGGGTTGCAGGGACGCCTGTGACGAGCGTACCCATGACACACAGATGCACGGGACAGAACGTGTGTGCAAGTAGCAGCAAGAACACCTACAAGAGCACTCAGAGAGAGAGAGTGTGTGTGTGTGTGTGTGTGTGTGTGTGTGTGTGTGTGTGTGTCAGAAACCAGAAGACCCCGAGGGAGATGGGACATGTCATTGTCCAGGTGTGTCCTGAGCCAGAATCTACAGCAGGTGTGGGGGACCCGGGGTCTGCTCCCCTGAACTCCCGCCTGCAGCCCCCTCCAGCCCTGGAGTGCAGAATGTGGGCCCTGCTCCCAAAGAAGGCCTGACCTCACCCCCCCAAACCCCAGGCCCAAAGGACTCCCACTGACCTCTGACCTCTGTCGCCTCCCCCTAGGTGGGGGCAGGACAGAAGCAGCAGGGAGTACAGAGAATTGATGAGGAAGGGCAGTAAATGGCGTGGCAGGGGGGTTAGTATAGTTCGTTAAGCTGGTCTTAGTCAGGCTGGGGGCTCCCAGGGATGCTGGGGCTCCACGTTTGTACCCCCTTGCCTGGCTTCGTTGAGGGTGTTTGCTGCCACTTCTGAGCTGTGTGAGCTTGTTACTTTCCCTGGGGTTTCTCGTCCATTGAATGGGCACCACGGAACCCAAGTCAGAGGGCTGTCAAAGCTGGTACGAAGCAGGGGCCAGTTTGCATCAAAAGAAATTTCCAGCCTGGAAAAGAAGAAACTGGGAGTTGTCTGCCATGGATGGGGAAGGGCCAGCTTGGGTCTGCAGAGGCAGAGTGGGTCAGGGTAGTGGGAAGGGACAGAGGTACGTTGGGGGGGGGGCAGGGCTGTGATGGAATTTGCTCCAGAAATCTCAGCACACACAGGCCCGCCGGGGGGTGCTCAGAGGTCCAAACAAAGCTGGGAACAGGCGGCCAGAGAGGTGAACCCCTAAAGACCAGGCAGGAGGCGGCCTCCTCCTAGAGCCCCGACTCCCCACCTAGGTGCGGCCCCCTCCTCCCCCAACACACGTGCTGCCAAGTCCTCCATTAGTCACCCTGGCACCGACATACATAAATCCCATTAGTCACACCCGTACAAACTCGCCCGCAGAGCACACCCAAGCACACCCAGACAAAGGAGGCCCCCAAAGAGGCTGTGTTCATCCTTGAACAGTGTGGGCTTCCCAGGCACTTAATGCACATGCGGCCAGCTTCCCCCAGAGCAGCCAGCTCCCACAATAATCCCTACCAGCCAGGCACTCCCAGCCCCCCCCAATAACCACCCCCCCAATTCCAAAACTTCCCCACACCCTCTGGGCACACAAGTGCCACAGTACCCGCCCACGAATGCCCTTGGCCATCCCCTCTCCTGCCTCTCCCTGGCGGGGAGCACCGTGGCCCTCCCCCGCCCTCCGCCGGCCTCGGAGGGGGTCTAAGCAGGAAAACCATTCCCCAAGGTCAGTAGAACTCTTCAGCAGGAGGCCCCGGGAGCTGATTTATTGGCGGTTTATTTGGAGAAACGCTATCGCTCTTGGATTCCGGAGAAGGGAAAAAAAAAAAAAAAACACACTTGCTCGTGGTGGACTTTAACCTTGGATTGAAACCGCAGCGCTTTGTTTTCGGAGACGCTTCCTGGGGCGCTGCGGCGGGGCTGGGGCAGGGGGAGGCATGGCCGGAAAGCGGCGTCGCAGCCTCTCTGCTCCCAGGCGGCGGGGGCGAGCGCTCCATTTCCTCCCGGCCCTGCCGGAGCCCTTGCAGTCCCTCCAAACACGCTTTGAGAAATTCTAGGAAGGAGCCGAAGCTCCCACAGTAAGACCGTCTCCAGCGAGGTTTACCAAACCTTCCGCCTCCGGCCTCTGCCACCAGCCCGTTGCCACTGTGTCACTGGCACAGCGAGGGGGAGGCTCCTCGGAGGGGGTGAATGCCTCCCCCTTCCGTGGCTGTCCCCCCCGAAGTCCCCTGCAAAGAGCAAAGACCGTTCAGAGGTGCTTGTCCCCGATCGCACGCAGGCCTGCTCAGCTGCTGCGAGGTACCCGCGTGAAGGCCTTTTTCCCGCCCCTCTGGCAAAGAGACACACAAGGCTGGTGACATTAAGCGTTATTATTGCAAATGCACCCTCTCTGGGTCTGTCCCCCAGATGCTCCGTGACTGTTCAGGTGGAAAGACCACCGCCCCTGCCAGGCTGCCACTACCGCCCCGCCGATTCCTGCTTTCCTGATGGTTCAGCTATTTGCGCCAAAGCCGGTGGCCGATGGGGGTGCCGACTTGGGGCCGGGAGGCGAAAAGTCCCGGGTATCCCTGGCATAGAGGGAGAGATGGGCTGGCGCGGGGTGGGGAGTTAGATGAGCCCCCACCTCCCAGCACCGCTCCCACAGAAACCCTGCATGGTCCTCATCAGGCAAAAAAAAAAAAAAAAAAAAAAGGAATAAAGGAAAAAAGCCCACCTCCCCATATCGGGCGCCGGCAGAGGACTCTGAGGGCAGAACGATGGCGCGGGATTAAAGCAGGGTCTGCGGAGAAGGGTGGCTGGCTGAGCTCTGAAAAGACACTGACCTAACCCTGGTATCATCCCATAATGGCGCGGAACTGGGCTCAAGCAGGTGGCCGTGCGCCCATTCCAGCCTCCCGGAGCCTTCCGAGGAGTAAGTGCCCGGCCGGGTGGCCCTACCCCAGGCGGGGATCCGGTGAGGCCCAGGCCGCCTGGGGTCCGGGCGACCGCGGGGATGGAAGGTGATGGCACTGAATGGGAGAGTCCGTTCCTCTCTTTGGTGAACAGGGAAGCTCCTGGCTTGACTCCCTGTGCAGTCTCAGGGACCCCAGGCTGTGACTGGGAGAGCAGGGCACTCGGTGAAGTCCCGGTCGCGAGGCCGGCCGAGAGCCCCAGCGGCCAGGAGCACCGGCGTGTGAGCAGCGGGAAGGAGGTCCCGCATGGAGATTTATGGCCGCATCCGGCCCCCTGTGCACCGAGCACGTCTCCGACCTCTTCGAGCCAAACAGTGGAATGGAAGACCCGACCCGGGGCCAGGGACAGGGGCCAGGGCCGGAGGCGGAGCCGAGACACGCCGGGATCCGCTGGGGCCGAGCCTGGTGCTTCAGCCCCAGCTCTGCCCACCGAGCGAGCGCTCTTGTCCCTGCAGCGTTCGGGCTTTGGCGCTGCGTCCTGGGTCTTTCTGGAGGGTTGGGACCCCTCTTGGCTGGGCTGGCCGAACTTCGGCTCTGCGCCGAATCGTGGCTGAGCCAGTCGCAGAAAAGGGATGGCGAGAATGGATGTCCCGGGCGCAGCCTCTCCGGGTTTTCGCGGTGCCCGGGCTGGGAGCTCCCTGGTTGCCAGACCTGGGACCTGGAAACTGGCTCTTGTAAGCCCCAGATCCGGTCAGGGCTTCCCGAGCAGGCAGCAGAGGCCGGCTTCACCGAGAAGCTGGCACAGCGCGGGGACTTGGGTCCCCACCGGGAAAGGCAGTTTGGGGCGACGGGTGGAGGTGGCTCAGGTGTCCTCGCATACGAAAGGTTGCCAGTTTTCTCTGGGGTAAGCGTTAAGGGGAGAATGTATCCACGTGGCCAGCAACACCAGGGTTCCAGAAAGCGCCGGGTTCTGCCCCGAAGAGGGCAGCGTTGGCCGAGGCGCAGGCCGGGGAGAACCGGGCTCAAAGTTGGCCTGTTCTTTGGTTTTAAAACAAAGGGGAATAATTTTGTCAGTCGGGTCGTGTGCACGGAGCCGGAGGCCTAGAACACACAAAAGGCCTCGGCTCGGCAGCCCAGGCTGGCCGCGGACGACAGCGCGGGCCTGGGCGGGTTCCCCAGGAACTGAGGTTTGGGTTGCGAGGAGGTTCCCCCCCCCCCCGATTTTCCGCCCAGTCAGTACAAAACACACACATACACACACTGCGTCAACACACTTTTTGGCCACAGATCCCGCCGGGTAAACAGAAGTATGCGGGGGGGTGGGGGTGAGGGACGGAAGATGGCGGCCAGACCCGGGAGGACCGCACGCCGGGCGCCTCTTCTCCGCCCCGCGCAGGGCGCCCAGGCCTGGCTCTGACATCTCAGTGTGGTCCGCCAGAGCGGGGAGGGTGCTTCCCCAGACTCCGAAGCTTGGCAAGGGATCCCCAGAGGTGCCCTACGAATGGCAGGGTCTCGGAAGGAGCCCGTGCTGCGCCCACCACTGGGCCTGGGATCCGTCCCCCCGCCCCAAGATGGCTCCCGGACGCTGTTTACCCAACGAATGCGGGGGCACCGGGGCGCGGGGCCCAGCGGCGGCGGGGGGGACGTGCAAGGACTGGGGTGTGCACAGGTCGGCCGCGGCCGGCAGCTCTTCGGCGGGGCGCGTTGCGGCCCCAGGCACGCTGCGCTCGGAGAGCCAGCACGGGCAGGCTGTCCTGCGCACCGCGCGGCCAGGACCCGGGAGCAGCCGCCGCCGCGTCCCCAGGCCCTGGGCCCGGCTGGGCTCGGGCGGTGACTAGCGCGGCCGCGGGCGTGAGTCTGTGCCGGGAGGGCGGCGCGAGGGGGCTGGGGCCCACAAAGGCCCAGGAGGAGGAGGTTGGGGGAGGGGGGGTCTCGTCTACCCCGAACCGCGACCCTAATGAAATGCAGGCTCGGTTCGCCACGCAGACAAGGCACATACTTGGAAAATGCAAACGCCATTGGCAAATGCAGGGCAAACACGCAGAATTTTTATTAGCAACTAAATGATTTATGGCACACATACCCCGCCATCTCACAATTACGGCGTCTTGGAGCATCCAGGGGTGAAAACATTAAACATTTATAAAAATAGGCTTTGTTCCCCCCCCCCCAGCCCTCTAGTCCTTTGTATTGCCCATCTCAACTTTCTCAAGATACCTATTTTTTTGCTTGAGCTATATGAAAATTAAAAAAACAAAACAAAACAAAAAAACCCAAACCCACACAAAAAACCCATTCCAGATCCAGGGCGGGGATAATGGGGTGGGGGATCAGGGTCTGGGCTCCGAATATTGGAGGGCAACCAGGGGGGTGGGGAAACGATGGGGCCTCAAGCATGGGAGGGTCTTTTAGGAACCCACAAAGGCCTTCGGATAAGGCTCGAGGATGCTCGGCGCCTACCGGGGCTGCGCCCGCACGCATAGCCCCTTCCCCTGCCTCGGCTTCCAGCAGCCCCGCGCAACTCAACTGCACTTATTTTATTTCTGCAGTCAACCCCCTCCCCCAAGGCACACAAGACACAATACCTCCTTTCTCTAACCCCCCTCTCCTCTCCGTCTTTGCTCCTGGCCGTCCAGGGGCCGCACCGGGAACCTCCCGCCGCCCCAGCCGCCACTGAGACCTGCGCGCCCTGCTCCAAGCGCGGACACCGCCGCTGTTCCCCTCGGCTCCGGCTATTTTCGTTCCTTTCTTTACTTCTCACTCCTCCCTCCTCCCCCTGCGGAGCTCCAGCTTCCAAAAGAGGGCAGCCTCGAAACCAGCGCAGAGGCTCCTGGAAGGGCAACTTGAAACTGCCCTCAAGAGGCTGAACTTTTTTCCTCAAATTTATACTGGAATTAAATTAGACACCCCCATTTCGCTTTTTCCAAGCCTATCTCCTCTCCCCGTTTTCTTCTAAAAGTGGAGAAAAGAAAATAGAACGAACGGGCGCTAACTAGCTCATTTTTCCCCCTCCAGAAAAGTTGCTTAAAAATGGATTTAAAAAAAAAAAAAAAAAAAGAACCAGCGATGCGAAAACGCTGAGTCCGCAGCGCGGGGCGAAAGAGCGGGCTTCTCTTGTTTTAATTAAAATCTAATCACCGCGATTGCTCTCCGAGGCAGGATCGGCAAGGATTTCTGCCTCTCCAAGCTTCCATTTGAGGGTACGTAATGCCCAGTCGGGCACGGGTCCCTGCGGGGCTTCAGAGAGAGGGTGCGGGGGCCCCAGGGCGGCCCCTCCGACCGCGTCCGCAGTCCTCGCGCCCGCAGCCAAGTAGGTTGCCGCGGGCAGCTCCGGCGACTCAACCGAGAAAGGATTTTGCTGAAAGCGCAAAATAAAAGTACAAAGTCTGGGGGATTGGGGCTCCCCTCCCCCTCCGGCCGCCGCGGCCAGCCAAGCACTTTTTGGGCTTGGCTTCTGCTTCCTCTGAGCTCAACAGATTTTTTTTTTTTCCCGGTCTCGCCCTCCCTGGAGGGGGCGCGGCGGATGGAAGGCGAGAGAGGCCCCCAGCCAAGAGGTTTTTAATATTACACTTTAATAGGTTTCAGAAGGCCCCGTGGAGAAATGCTAATAGGCTGAAATGTCAGAATCGAGAGGGAGTCAGTTCGCGCTCAGCCGATCTAATCCTTTTTTTCTGCTCTGATTTTTTTGGGGGGGGCAAGAGGAGGGGAGCGCCCACGCAAAGAAAAGCTTTGGGGAAGGGCGCGCGGTGCAAAGCGCCACAGCCCCGGCCGGGGCCGAGCGAGGGGCGCGCCCTGGCCCGCGTTTCTATAGGAACCCCTTTTAGAAGATTAGAGACTCACCCGCTACCCGCCGCCGCTGCCTCTCCAAAATATTAATCAGTAACCATCTGACACCGCGTTTCAGGGAGGGACCCGCAGGCCGAGGCTAGGAAAAGGGCCTTCAACGCCTGCCCATCCCACCCAACCGCGCTTGCTGGGGGAAAAGGAATGAATCGCTGCTTTGTTTTAAAAGAGGGAGTTAAAAAGGGAAAAAGCAGCCCTTGTCTGTTTTGGCGTCTCCAGCGCGCGTTCTAAAAGGCGCACCCGAGGAGAGGTAGGGGGCCCGGGCCCGGGCGCGGGGTGCAGCCCGCCGGGCTCCAGGCCCTTCCCGGCTCGCTCGGCTTGTCACCTCCTCCTGCGAGCAGGAAGCTGACAGGCGGCCCATTAAACCGCGCCTTGCAAAGCCCTGGATTGCGGCGACAACCATCTTCCTCTATTTTGATCACTCAGCCTAGACGCCGGGGGAGGGGGTAGGAAAAGGGAGGAGAGGGAGGAAAGGGGGGGGTCCGAGCTGGTGGAGGGGGAGGGCTGCCTAGAAACGGCCGGGAAAAATTCTCACCACCAGTTTTGATCATTCAGCCCCGCCGTGGGGAGCCTGGAAACTGCTGGAGCCCCTCGGTCGGTAATTGGTTTTATAGGAATGGCCGAGGGCCAAGGTGTTTACATGCGCGTGATTGGCGGTGCGCGGGGCCAATGGATGGAGGCCGGGGGCCGGCCTGGGGGGGGAGGCGGGCGCCCGGGAACAATGCGTGTTTCTTCGCTGGAGAGTACTCCCCTCCCCCAACCGCCCCCTCCCCCCTCCCGCTGGCTTTTTTTTTTTTTTTTTTTTTTTAGATCCAGCGAGAGGAACTTGAAAGGGGGGTTGTGTAATGTACCTTTTCCAATCCCGGGCTGTATATGGAGATTTGGGATTCTTTAAACCGGCGCTACCTGGATTTTATTAAAAAGCGGGGAGCTCGGCGGGAGGAAAGCTGGCTTTTCCGGGGGCTGCGGGAGCCGGGCCGCGGGAGGGCGGAGGAGTTGGCGCGCCGAGCGCTCGGCCCGGGGAGCGGTTTTCTACCAAAAAAAGGAAAGGCGGGCAAAAAGTGTGAGGCGGCTGCGGGTGGCGAAGGGGAGCAGCAGCGGCGGGATGGCGGGCAGCACGGGCGCCTAGCCGCGCCGGGAGCCGGGGCCACCACCGGAGTCGCCGTCACCGGAGCCCGGAGCCGGGAGCCCCGCCGCGCCAGGTACGCCGCCCGGCCGCCGGTCCGTCCCTGGCCGGGCGCGACGGTCTCCAAACTTCTCCAGCTGACCCCCCACCCCCTCCCCTTCGGGGTGCGCGGGGGGATCCCCGCAGCCCTCCGGCCCCCAAGAGCTGGATCGGGGACCGGCGTCGGGGAGGTGGGGGCGCCCTGGGAAGGGTGGGGGCGGGCCATGGTGCCTCGGGCGCCCACCTGAGCCCTCAGCCCAGCTCCAGCCCGCCCAGCCGGGCTGAGGGGCGTCGGTTCCCTTCTCGGTTCCCGGCAGGCGGCGGGGGAGCCAGGGACGCCGAGACGTTTTCGATTATAGGCTGTTTTTAATTAAAAGCCGGAATTCAGCCATTTTAACGGCATTTAAGAGGGGGAGAAAAGTAGAGAGAACGCAGCGGAGCCCGCAGATGGCCGAGCCAGCTTCTCTACCAGAGCGAGGGTGTTCCGGGGGCCTTCACCTCGACTTCCCCAAAGTGGGGCGTCGGGGGTATGCTCTGAAGCTCTAGCTTTTAAAAAGCTACACAAAGAACATTAAAAAAAAAAAATCACGGAAAGCTCATCGCCTCCTTAAGACATGTATCCTCGGATGTGGCGATCTTAGATTTTTCCAAAGTAAACGCGGATCTGGTAACCAGAGCCTGATGGGAGTGAGCGAGGGAGGGAGGGAAGGGGGTGTCTGTAACCAAAACCGGGTTAAAATAAGCACCCTTAGCAAAGTTGGGGAGGGAGGCTGGAGAAGGAGGCCGGGGGGTTTGCGGCTGAGGGGGTCTGCAGCTCGGGGGGCTGGGCGCCGGTCGTGGGGCGCAGGGCGGGCACCCGGAGCCGGTGGCTTTGGCGTGGATCGGCGGCTCTAGGAGCGCCCGGGCCTCCCGGAATCAGGAATCCGAGCTGCTGCGGGCAGACGGAGAGCGAGGGCAGGGTTGGCTCCAAGACTCCCTCCCGCCCCCATGGGAATCGGCAAACGACAAATCTTTTAAACAAACAGCTTTAAACTGAAACTACAGGGGGATTTGCCCAACGCTGGGGGAGGCGCCCCTTGGTCGGCCCGCGCTGCGAAGGTTTTCTTTGTAGGTTATTTTTGGGTTGGGGGGGCGAAGCTAGGGTAGGAGCAAGACCCTGGAGCCCCTTGCTTCCCCTCTGACCGCCCCCCTCCCCCCAAATCCCCTGCGTCAGGCCACGTCCTCGGGCCGCAGGATTCCCAGGCCAAGGCGTTGGAAAATGAAACCAAAGCTTGTTTTGAAGGATTCTTTCCAGTTCTCGGGCGAGAATGCCACGTCTCGGGTCCTCGGACTCAGACTCTGCGACTCACAGCGGCCCGAGGGGGGCGGCGGGAGGAGGCACGGAGTCTCTTTAAAAATAATAAACCGTCTTTGCACCCTTTCTCCCGAAAAAAGCCAAACCAAAACAAAACACTAATTGGCGGCTCAGGGCGAGCTTAGGGAAAGCAGACTCAAAAAAGGCAGGCCAAGGGGCCAAAAAGGTTAAATATTAAACTTTCCGGATCAGATAGTGACACAGTGTTTAGGGAGACATTTCGAACTGCTCATGGAAAGGTTTCACGGTTTGAAACCCCGGAGCATGTGACGCCCAGGAATCAATCCCACTTGGGAGGTTTTGTATTTATGCAGCCCGGGCGCGGCTGAGGGGCCTTTCCCAGTTTCGGGAGGACCCGTAAGCCGCCGAGCCAGTCTGGGCTGGGGCTCAGCGCGCCACCGGCCACTTGCCGAGCCGGGTCCCCGGGGAGCCTGAAGCCGCCAGAGGAAGGAACATGGATTTTTACTTTTTATGGAAAAGGGGTTACCCCCGATTTCATTTCTGGCCACCCGATACGCAGTCCCCAACCCCGAACGGCAAGACGACTTTCTGAAACTTTGTTTTTCCTCCCCCCCTTTTTTCCTCCCCCCCCGCCTGTTTCTTCCGCGGCCCGTCTCCTCTCCCCGCCAAGACGCCGTGTGCGCCGCCTCGCGCAGCTCCGCCTGGCCGCCCGGAGGGGCCCCACCGCCGGCCGCCTGTGCGCCCCGGGCCGCGGGCCCGCAGCCGAGCGCAAGCCCCGCTGGCCGCCGCCGCCATGCACGCCGCGGAGCCCCCGCCGCCCGAGGACTCTGGGACTACGCGGAGGCCGAACTTTTAGGTCCCACTGAGCGAGGCCCGCGGGCCGGGTGGGGGGCTGGCTGCGGCACTCCCGCGGAGGATGGATGGCCGAGACTTCGGGCCCCCGCGGTCCGTGCACGGCCCCCCGCCGCCGCTGCTGTCCGGCCTGGCTATGGACAGCCACCGCGTGGGCACCGCTGCGGCCGGACGCCTGCCCGCTTCTGGCTTGCCCGGCCCGCTGCCGCCCGGGAAGTACATGGCCGGCCTCAATCTCCACCCGCACCCGGGTAAGTGCCCTGCGCCGTGGCCGCCCCCCTCCGGTCCGCCCGGGATCCTGAGGAG